TTCTTTGAAAGCTCTCGCAAATTCAGTCTTAAAAAGATGTGTATAAGAGACAGATATAACATTCAAATTATATATAAAATAAAAATTATACATATAATTAAAATTATATAAAAAAATGTATAATCTTAAAATTTTATAAATTAAAGAATTATATGTAAACTAAAAATGAAACACAATATAACAATAACAACGAGAAACTGCATTTAAAAGCCATGTTAAAGTTGCTAACCGCTCCTTTAGTAATACTTTGGTTGCTTAGCACGTTGCAATTTACAATATAACTCGCTCGTAGTTTTGCGCAATGTCTGTCGCTGAAGTACTTTTTTATAGCAATTTTTGCGTTTTTTGATTTTTTCAAATTCCTTTGCGTTTTCATACATAATACTTGTTTCTGTTTTTTTTTTCAAGCAAGTTTTCTATATATTTCTCGTTTAAGCGGCGCCTGCGCACAAACATTTGTAACAAATTTCCGCAAACAATTGCGTTTTGGGTTTTGAGCACCGCATGTTATTCGGTTTAACAAATTTACATGCCAATCTGCGCATTTTAAACAATAATAATATAATATTTATGAGCTACGTTTTTATCGATAACATTTTAAAGTAATTTTTTAAGTTGCTAATTGGAAATCAATTATGAAATAAGCTTTCGGAGACGTGCTTACAATTTGTTTGTGTTTTTTTTGTGTTTTTTTTTTGTTTGCTTTTTGGGTTTTTTATGTTTTGCTTAACTTCAGTACAGTATTTTTCGTTCTTTATCTCTCTCCTTTGATTGATCGATTGATCGTGAATCCTCACTGGATTTGCTGAAATCTTCTACGCCGCTAAGTGTTCTCTATATATATGGGTGTGTGTGTGTTCACTTGGAGGTGGAGTAGGATTTCTGTTTGTTCATGAGCAGTATCATGCCGGCGTTCATGCCAACGCTGCCCCACTTCACGCACTCGGACATCTGCAAAGGCATTAATGAAAAAGTTAGGTTATATTTTGTTAATTTTAAAACATTTTTGTTATGTGTGTACAATTATATGCACGTGAGTGTACCAACCTGTCGCTTTCGCACGTCCTGCTGGCGGCTGCCATACCGGCACCAGTACACAAAATGCTTATTATTATTCCAGAGACTGTGTTTGGCCTTGCGCGCAAAGGACACCTGTGCGTGTGCAAAGATAATAAATCAATCAATAATCAGCCAAATGCTTTACTATTTCAAATAACAATTTTTAGCAATTTAAGCAAAATTTTGTATAAACTTGTTGTTATAAGTGTCCAACCAACCTGATTGCGTATGTCCTTCTCATTGTGTGCTGATTTCTCCTTGTCGGCGAAATTGTTGATGCGCAGTTCCCAGCCTTGATTCCAGATATCCTCCAGCGTGAGTTTGAGCATTTTGAATGTACCGTTTTCACGTATTTTCACAGTGTAGATTTCAATGGTGTCGGGTTTGGGTTTATTGTCTGCAAAGAGTAGGGAGAGTAAAGTTAAATTTGCTGCTAAAATTTTTTTGATATGAATGTAGAGTAATTTACACACATACATACATTCTTATATACATATATATATAATAGAGTTATTTTTATGCGTGCAAGGTTTATCAATTTATTTTATCTAAGTAATATTCCAGTGCAAAAGAAGTGCTATAAATCCAGTGTGTGTTTTGCGCTGTAAAAATTCATTCTCAAGTTTATTGCGCCAAGTCACTTTTAACTGTTATTTGCTTAAATGCTGCCATGTCTAAATAAAGCTAAAGCTGTATAAATGTATACATATCTGCTTATTTATGTTGGTAGATTTGTTGTAGCATTTTATAAATTCCTGTGAAATATTGAAGTCATTATCTAAAATTATTTATTTTAATATTTATTAGCTACGTTGAATTATAAATTTTAGAACTTTTAGTATAAAAAATTAT